GATGATTACTGTCTTTATCCTAACGATCCCTTGGGGGCGTCAGGACCACTCATCCAAACAACTTGATTGATCTGTACATCAATTTGCCATCGAGCAACCGCTTCCGTCGACCAGCAAACTACATGAGCCGAGGATACCGTACCCGTCGTATGGCTGTTGATTACCAGACTCCTCTGGTAACCAACGTCAAGAATGCCAAGCTTTTGATTGAGGCCATTGCCCGCCACTACGATATGGAAATCAGCAAGGTTGACTTCCAAGAGTTCGCTGCTGCGCCGGGATCTCACGACCAGCAGTCTTCCGACATATCTCGATTGGGTGCTTCTCTTTCTTTGTCACAGCTCCTGGCCAGATCGCCGTTCAAGAGCAAGCACATCACCTCGGTCAAGCAGTTTTCGCGTGCCGATCTCCATCTGTTGTTTACAATTGCTCAAGAGATGCGTCTCGGTGCTCAGCGACAAGGGTGTCTTGATGTCCTCAAGGGCCGTGTGCTTTGCACTGTGTTTTGTGAGCCATCCACAAGGACTTCTGCGTCATTCGATGCCGCAATGAAACGCCTGGGCGGCGAGGTCATCGTCATCAACGAGTCCGTCTCTTCCACGCAGAAGGGTGAGTCTATTGCCGATACCATACGCACTCTCGGATCCTATGGCGACGCCATCGTTCTCCGTCATCCCCAAGAGGAGGCTATCGACATCGCCACCAAGTTCTCCGACGTCCCCGTCATCAACGCTGGAAATGGAAGTCGCGAGCATCCAACCCAGGCCATTCTGGACATCTTCACCATTCGTGAGGAGCTTGGAACTGTGAATGGTCTCAACATCACTTTCGTCGGTGATCTCAAGTACGGCCGTACTGTGCACTCACTCTGCGAACTTCTCTCCCACTACGATGTCACCATCAACCTCGTCTCGCCGGCTTCGTTGCCCATGCCCTCTGGCGTTCGCGATGCACTCAAGGCTCGCGGCCAGCTGAACATCATCTCCACCGAACTCACATCCGAGATTGTTGCTTCCTCGGACGTCCTGTACTGCACTCGCGTACAAAAGGAACGCTTCCCTGACCTCCCGACATATGAAGCCGTCAAGGACTCCTTCGTCATTGACAATAAGATTCTCAAAGGCGCAAAGGCAAACATGATTGTCATGCACCCATTGCCTAGGAACAATGAGATCCATGAGGAGGTGGACTTTGATCCCCGGGCGGCCTACTTTAGACAGGTACGTCTCTCTTTCCAGCCAACCAGAACGAAGTGCTAACAGCGGCGTAGATGAAATATGGCCTATACACGCGCATGGCTCTGCTCGCCATGGTCATGGCACCTTGAGCAAAGCATTCATTCAGCCATTCACGTGTTATTTCCTTTTACGGCTTCACGGTTCCCAAACGGCGTCATCCTTGGGCACTTGTATCTCCTCCTCCCACGACGATAAACTGCCAAAAAAAGCAAAGACGGAAAAAGTGTAGTTTTTTCTGCTATTTTCCTTTTGTGCTCTCTTGTTGGTTGAAAAGAACACGACACATACACATTCAAACACATGATCATCCAAATAGACGGGGCTTTTCCCCAACATGACTTTGTAGTATAAGCATTGCAACCGGCGTTTGCATCTTTTGGGGTCTTTTTTTTTGACCCTGGTGTATCATGATGCACATTGTAAAAAATGCACATTTTTTTGGGGGGTTTGGGGGGAAGCTATTTTATTTTTTTGGCAGCGTGGTTTGGGCGTTTTTTTTTGGGGGGGGGGGGGGATTTGTATGGGTGTGGGGTGGTTTGGCGTTTGTGGGGTTGAGCCTAAAGGATATGGGTAGAAGAGGGGTATAAGAGGTTAAACAAGGGAGTGTTATCGGACCGTGAGCAGAGGTCGTCATGTTTGGGATTGGGCATTGGAAGAAGAGTTTTTCTACTCGGTATCTTCATCTTTATTCAAAGGCGGTATTCCGGTGTTTATGTGTGCGCGTGTGATTTGTTTGCACTTGGTTGGGACATGATTCCCATTGGACTTGCATTGGGGGATAAACTACACAATCAAACAACGCTGGCGGGATGGGCGTGGTTGACAATTTTGATGTGATGTTGATTTACTTCATTGTACTTGATTTGCTTTGCACTCGATTTGACTTTGTAGTAGTTCAACTACGACTCGTGAGACTAGGGGGTATGAACAACGATGCTGGATTTAAGAATGCTAAAAGGTACGCCTGGACGCCTTGGCTAGGTTTAAAAGGGGAGGGGTGAGAAGGCTGTGTACAGTGGGAAGGTAAATTGAGGGGTTTGGGATGGTACGGTGACTTGTTCGTGGCGTGGCGAAGGAGGTGTAGGCTCGTGTGTAGGATGGATGGGAGAGGGTGGTGTTTCTCATGGGAAAGGTTGTGTGTATCGTTGTTATTGTGGGAGGATCTAGTGACGGAGGCAACGTCCCCATGCTGTTGTGTCTGTTAGCACAGGATTTCACCCAAGCGCAATGCCCGCTGTGAGATGAAGAAGAAGCAAGGCTACTTACCAGGCAGACCACAGCCAAAGCCAACGAACAAATATATCAAAAAGATGACGACCAGAGTCAGCAGCACCATGAGTTTGACATTTTTCCACCACATGCGCCGCTTCAGCGTCCGACTCCTGACCCTAAAATCGCGTGCATTTTCACCCAAGCGACCCGTCTTGTCCACCAACACACTCATGTGCTCGCCCCGCTCCAGCACTCTCTCGATATTCTCCGTCATAATCTCCCGGACGCCTTCAATCTCGCGCTGCGCCGTGCGCAAGGCATCCTGCTGGCCCGCCTGGGTCCCGCCCTGCTCCTGCATCATCTTCCTGAGCGCGGCATTGAAGCTCGCGCAGCCATAGGGCGGCAGATCGGCGAAATTGGTCTCTGCAGCGTCGAATTCGGCGAAGAATTTCTTCTCGAGGTTGGTGAGGAAGCCAAAGGGGATGCGTTGGCCGAGGTCGCGTTCGGCGATGACGAGGAAGGTTAGGCCGCCGGCGGAGGACTGCGAGGCGGGGAAGTCGGCGGGGGATTTGACGAGGCAGTGGATGAAGAATTTGGACTGGTCGATTGTTTTGTGGGAGGAGGTGGAGTGGGAGAGGCGGGGGAGGACGAGGGAGATGAGGGAGGAGGCGTTGGAGGAGGCAGAGGCCGTGTGTTCGGCTAGGACGGTGGTGTTGTGGGCTATGCATGCGCTGGGGGAGTCTGTTAGTTTTCGGGTTCTGGTTGTGTGATGGCGACTGTGTCTGGTGGCAAAGGGGATAAGGGTATAGGTGGTAGGGTAGGGCAAGGGGAGGGGAGGAGTGCGCTCTCATGCTCGTCGCAATCAACGACTGCAGACTTGATCGTCGCAGCGCATTCATGCCCAAACAGCTCGATCAGACTCCTCCTCCTCCTCCTCTTCTTGCGCACACCTCTGCCTATATTGTATACAAGACAGAGACGTACTATAGCAGCGGCGTAGCATTACTACTCGACGCCATGAGGAACGGCGGCGGCGGCGGTAGCGCTAACTCTGTCCTGGGCTTTTTGGTATGGCGATTTGTTTTCGTCGGCGATATCAAGCCTCTCGAGATCAAAGTGCTGTCGGACTGGCGGGCCGTGGTGTTTGTGTTGGTACTGCTGCGAGGCGTAGGAGTCGGCGGTGTTCCAGGAGCATGGAAGTCGGGGATCCCGCCTCGAGCCATTCGTCGTCATTCGCCAAGCCGGCAGGCCCCAGAGCGTTAACTTACCGTTACCGTTATGCGTGCGGCGATTGGATGGGATGGATGGCTTCTCGAGGCTTGCGGTCGCTCTTCTAGTACTTGTTCAGACAGGACCGGCTTGGATGGTGGATGAAACTCGAGTGAATCGTTTGTTGTCCTCTCCTATTCTTGGCACTTTGTTGCACATAGTGGTAAGCTGTAAGACGCAGGCAGGCGCAAACGCGCGCGGGACAGTCGCGATCGACTATGTGCCTAGTGCCTGGGGAAATTCAACGTTCCTTTCACCAAACTACTTTTTTTTTTTTTTTTTTTTACATTCCTTAGACAAACATGCAGCCTCGCAGACGTCACACGACAACAACAAAAACAAAGACTACAGGAACGGGGAAATCTACAGAACTACACACTACACAACGACAATTACAATGGTGCGCGTCAAATTCCGCTACTTGGTCGTGAACTTTCTCTACCCAGAGCCTTGCACCACCTCCACCCCAAAATCCAAAACCACCCCTGCACCACTGCCAGACCTCATCCAGATACATTCTCCAACGCCGGATGCGCTACACCAGGGAAGTATCATGCGCATGATCCGCGACGCCGTGGAAGATTTATACGGTGACTATGGAGCAGGAATGATATCTGCTGGTCTAAAAGGTGCCCTACCCTACCCTATATACCCTCAGCCCAACCCCTCACACACACACACACACACACAATGCTAACCGCCTCCAACGCAGTAAACTACTTCTCGCCTTCCACCTCAACCGCCATCCTCCGCTGCCCCCGCGACCACTACTCCATGGTCTGGGCCGCGCTAACCTTCACCACCCACCTGCCCACCAAACCCCTCGCCATCCCCGTCGTCGTCCGCGTCCTGCGTGTGAGCGGAACGATTAGAAAGGCAGAGGAGGAGGTCATTCGTCGGTCCAAGATGATTGTCAAGAGAGCGAAGGAGTGGGAGGCGCAGGCGGGCGGGACGATGACGATGACGGTGCCGATGGTGAGGAGTGTGGAGCTTGCGGTTGAGCGGGCGAGGAAGGAGGAGATGGGGCGGGGGGTTGCGGGTGGGGAGGAGGATGTCATGAGTGAGTGAGTGGGGTATACAGCAAGAGGGTCGGGACTCGGATTCGACAAGTCTGGACAGCATCGCGTTTCCCTCACACAACCGTCGCACATGGATAAAGTCGCAAGTCTGAACTGTGGCTGACATGGATACATCCACCCACACACACGGACCAGACACAACTACGCCTAGTTGGCAAAAGATAAGGAACGGAGGGAGGTCAGAAAGTGCGTTCACAGATGGAAAAGGCAAGCCATGACATATCGCCCCACGCCGCGGCAATCGTTAGGAGCAAGTCTAGCCTGTGAGAAGCGATGAAGGAAGATGACAATAGAAGAATGGTACGCCCAGCCTGCTATATATAACATTTGCAAGGGCTGTCATGGGAAACTGCTCTACACATACATCATGTGTCGGTGTGTATCAAAAGTAACATCCCCGTCCATAATAGACAGCTTGTTTTCCCCCTCAGTCATGACATTCATCACCCATCACCACCCTTTCCCGTCTTCACAGTTTCCCAACCTTTTCAAGTAGCCAACTCATGCACACTCCCATCTCTCAGAGCCCCCACTGACGGTAGACTACTGTCTCAAGAAAACCAAACTCCAAAGCTCTCAAGCACACGCGGAAGAAAAAGGAGGGGGGGGGGCAATGAAAGACACGCCCACTGGACGCACAATCCAAGTGGAAATCAAACTAGATGGAACCAGTGTCTATGCAGTGCTGCGTGCTTTCGTGATGCTGAGCAAGCTATCGAGTGGAAGAAAGCTGTTTGTGCGAGGTGAGACGGGACGCTGCTTTGCTCGTGCCTTGCTGGTGAGCAGTCTAGCGTAGCTGCAGCATCTTACGTGGTCGTAGGCCAACGAGTACCTTTTCCGCTTGTAAAAGGGCGTGGGAGCAATAAGGGGGGTGGAAGATGGTGAATTGGCACAATAGCGCAGCAGGGTGGGTGGGACGATTGTATAAATCTGTTGCGGTGAGAGATATGGGGGCACGTCTATGCTATTTCGTCCGTCATGCCTGCTAGTACACCTGCGCCAATAATACCTCCGTCGCGAGCTTCCTTGAGAGTTGCCCGTTTGGAGGCGTTTGCTGGTGATGCAGCTTCGACCAGGGTGTCTATCCACTGCTGGCATGTCATTAGCCATTTTGGATACTGCGAGATGGTTCCGCCGGCGTATGCAATCACCAGCTCTTCCGTCTCTTGCTTCTCATTAGTATGTTTGCCATTGCTGCGTGGCTCCCATGTCGCGGGATCCTGAATGTCAATGTCGCCGACGCAATGAAGTAAACCGACACATGCGGCTGCGATGAGTGCTGAAGATCGTTGTTGCACGGCTTCGGCGATATCACGTATCAGTTCCACTCGTTCGACGGTCCAGAAGAACGGGTCATCTGCTGGGGTTGTTGCTTGATACCGCTCTTCGAGTTCTGCCTGTACGAAGCGTCCGCCCTTCCGTGCCACCACTTCTGACAAGAATCTAGTTGGGAGGGCATTCTTCTGTCGCAGCGATGGTGGGATCTGCTCGCCTTCCTCGAGATCAATCACATCGAGCAGCACAAGTCGTACAATCTCTCCCAGGTACCGCCCTGATGTCATGTATTCAAAAGGCTGGAACCCAGGTGCATCACTGTTCGCGTCGAGTATCGCGTCCCATTTGGTCTTGATATTCAGATCGTTCAACGGTTTATCGGTGCCTCGTATTGTCCATTCAGTGTTGATGACGACAGTCTCAACAGCGTCTGGGTTTGACAAGTCTTTCCTCTTTGCAGGATGGAGATTACTGAGCTTCATCGGGACTGTTGCATTGGTACCTGTGCCAACGATGAGACCCATAGCGACTCTGCTATTTGGCGTAGCCTTCACTGCATATGCCATCGAAGCAAAGGTAGCCACAGTGTCGTTGGTGATGGCAGCCACTCGTATCCGGGGCAAAGGCGCATGAATCGCAGAGGACCCGTTGCTTGTGGTTGATGAAGCACAATGTCGCGTATACCCATCAAGCAGCATCTTTCCTAGATTCAGGTTTGAAGTGATAGCAAAACCTTTCCCCATTGGCAGTAAGGTGGCTTCTGAAAGTCGAGTTTGTCTAGACTTTGTCAGTTAAAGTAGCGACAAAAATCCATCTCTTCGTACTCACGCCATCGGAAAGCTGAATGTTATTCCAAGCTGAAGCTCGTGACCCAGAGTAGACACTGCACCTGGTGTGGCTGTTTCTTCGTCGAGGGCTTCTCTTATGACTTGGGCAATACAATCGCCAATCCATCGAAAAAGATCCTCTGCTTGATCCATCTTCAGGTGATCTCCAATAGGCCAATTTCTATCATGACTTCGCCTCGTCGATTGAAACACATCATCTCCCACCGTACTGCTTCTTTCAGGCTCCTCTCTTCTCCGCTCGGGGCGCTCCCCAACCAGCTCGATAAAGCCGACTCTAAGATTCGTTCCACCAACATCGATGCTGAGGAACTTGCCCTTTTCTTTCCCGGTTGGCAATGCCGTTACAGGCGTGACCAAGAAATGCTCCGTTGACGTCCTAGCGAGGTCACTGTATGTCGCTGAGAAACGATGGGCCAGATGAAGCAAATCCTTGGTATTGATGAAGCCAGTCAATGCTTTGACGGCCCCTGCAGCCCGAGCCTCTGATGGGCCGTTGCTGGCCATGACGAAGTGGTACTAGACCCAGGGCCAGGCCAGACGTACACACTGCACACTGTACACTGCACAGTAGCTGTGTAAGAGATTACGAGTACGCCGAGACGACTTATGGCGGGAGGTTGAGTGGCGAACCGGAAGACAGCGTTTCAGGCCACAGCTTGGCCGTGACGTTGGGTTTATGATAACAACACCAGGCTGCGAGGAACATCAGCAAGAAGAGGGGATTTCTAGTCGATGTGTCCCGGGGATTCAAGCAAAGGGAAGAGGAGAAGGTAGAAGGAAAGCTGGGCTGTAGTACCTAGGGTATGAAGTGATGTCTCGTGTTCGCCTGTGGGACGGTACCGACAGCCCGGCGTACCGGTAATCGGCGTTGCACGCATTTTGGCGTGAGCAATGGGTTGGTTTAGTATCATCCATGGTGCTTACCATCCACCACTGACGACTGCCTACCACCATTGACGACTGCCTACCACCATTGACGACTACCACCATTGACGACTACCACCATTGACGACTGCCTACCACCATTGACGACTACCACCATTGACGACTACCACCATTGACGACTGCCTATCACCATTGACGACTGCCTACCACCATTGACGACTACCACCATTGACGACTACCACCATTGACGACTGCCTACCACCATTGACGACTGCCTACCACCATTGACGACTACCACCATTGACGACTACCACCATTGACGACTGCCTATCACCATTGACGACTGCCTACCACCATTGACGACTACCACCATTGACGACTCCCACCATTGACGACTGCCTACCACCATTGACGACTACCACCATTGACGACTCCCACCATTGACGACTGCCTACCACCATTGACGACTGCCTACCACCATTGACGACTACCACCATTGACGACTCCCTCATCCCAGGTTGTCTGGGAGACAGCCATCTGGGACTAGGTAGTGGATGGTCTATATCTAGCCACCTTGGCGCTGTTCTCCCACAGATTCTTCAATCAATACTTGTTATTTCTATATCCATAGTGCTTACCTTGTATCAGCCATGGTGCTTACCCTGATGAGGTGGTGACTGCCTACCACCATTGGCGACTCCCCTATCCCGGGTTGTCTGGGAGACACCCATTTGGGACTAGTGGGGATATCTATATCTAGCCACCTTGGCTTCTCGTCCATAGATTCTTCAATCAATACTTTTCATCACATCAATACTTTCTCGGCCATCATCACCATAGATTCTTCAAATCCATACGTTACCATCACATCATCACCCAAACTGTGCCGCTGTGCTGACGCAGGCTCACTACCTACGCCTAAAGCGCTTAACCTTAGTGCATGCTTCGCCAAGATCTCATCCCAACGCGTCACCAGTGCCTGTGTCGACGCAACTACACTCACCAACAGTATAAGGTACGACCGCCGCAAGGTCGACTTGCATATGGTCTTTCATCTCACAGCAGAAGCAGGGGGAAAGCGCGAAAGCGAAGACCCCAACCACCACGACCCAAGTCCGTCTTCCTCTCTTTTTACGAGCCCTCAACTGAACGCTGCCCCGCGCGAGCAGTCCCGGCAGAACTCTTCTGTCACGAACAAGGTATGCATAGCAGCTTGCACTTTTGATCGCCTTTTACTGAGCTTATAGCATTCACCCGTCACACCACAACCCAACCAGCTAAAACGGTCATACGAAGCCGAGAGTCTGTCCGTATACGTCCCAGCCAAGCCGATTTTGAAGAGACCACGGTCATCTGCAGACACTGCGACCGCGACGCCAGCTAGTCGAGAGACGCAGTTCGACAATACTGAGATTATCTTCAATCTTGATTCTGTCAACCCTGGTGTTCTTCGCTGGATTCAAGGGGATTCTTGGCCTAAGGAATATTTCGAGTCAAAGACAATGTCTCACCTCTTGAAGAAGAAGCTCGTGGCTTCCCTGCGGCGCAAACGATCAGAATCTAGTGTATCCGGGGCCAGCTCGACGACACCTAGCGACCAAAAGCCGCGAGAATTCAAAAGCGCTCCCTACCAGGATCCGCGCTATCTTACGCTCCTTCAAACCAAAAGGAGTTACATGACGGAGGATGGAGAAGGCCCTCGGACGGAGAGCAGAGCTTTTTGTCGAAGTCTACTCACACAAGACCAAGACGTCCCACCGACTTCGCGTTTCTCCGAGGGCATCTTTCAATTGACATGTTCAAGGATTAATGGTAGAAATGAAGCTAAAGTCATTCAAGACATCACGCGACTTATAGTTCCGTCGGCAGAAGAGCTTGCTGATTTTGGCGCCAAGAAACTATGTTGTCTTGTTGAAAGTGTTAATGAGGGCTGGAACAACTCTATACCACTGACCGGAACCCGTCCTCAGCCTGACTACTCCGTCGGGTTCAAGAGAGAGGCGTTCTCCCAGGAGCAGCTTGAAAAGCTTGCCCCTTTGATTGGCGACTTTATCTTTGGCGACCAGTGCTACTTCATGGCAACATACTACATGTACTTTCCGTTTCTGACATGCGAAGTCAAGTGCGGCGCTGCGGGGCTCGAAATTGCTAATCGACAGAATGCGCATAGCATGACGCTCGCGGTCAGAGCTGTAGTTGAGCTCTTCCGCCTCGTCAAACGCGAGAAAGAGGTTGAGCGCGAGATACTTGCCTTTTCGGTCTCGCACGACAACAATATAGTTCAGATATACGGCCACTACGCTGTCATTGACGGATCCAACATTAGCTACTACCGTCATCCTATTTACAGCTTTGACTTTACTACTCTCGACGGCAAAGAGAGATGGACTACGTACAAATTCACCAAAAGCGTATACGACACCTGGATGCCGATGCACTTCAAGCGAATTTGCTCGGCAATTGATGATTTGCCTGCTGGGGCCGATTTCGATGTCCCGCCCCTTCCACAAGATTCTGGCCTTTGACGGCTTGGAGTCGCAACATCTATCACGCTCTTTCACAGAATTGGTGACACGAGTGGAGGATGGTAGTCAAGCAAGGTACTCCCGTCAACACTCCAGGCACTTCGTTTACCCAACCAAGAGCATCAATGAGGCATAGGGGAGGAAAGTAGTATTGATTAACCTGGAATAATTATCCTTGCTGTTCCCTTTCTGGGCCATGCCACAGTAACTACTTTGGCGTTTGTGAAATGTGAGCAGTCGTGATGTGACATGATGCCACCATGAGTCAGACCTTCGATGCATTGTCTTATATGCTGAGATATCCTCGCAAACACGGCTGACTCTGAGCGGCGATGAAATAGGCGCACTGCATTTGATTTGTGTGTAAGAAAATCAGAACAATGCTTTATTTCTGGTGATGAATAACTGAATCCCTTTTTCTTTCAACCGACAATCCCTGTATCGTTCAATGATATCCCTGCTTCCCTAAGATTGTGCTCTCATGCAAGATTGGGTGATGGCCCGGTAGCCAACAAAAATGCACTCGAATCACGTGTCTCCACCTCGACCCCATACGATGCAATGGGACGGTCTGGATAAGCTTTTGTACCCATCACGCTTGGCCACCAAATTGCCAACACATTATCCTCTCTCTTCTGTTGTAGATTTCTAATATTGATAATCAACATATACTACTACTACAGCCGCTGGTACCTAGTCCATAATCCGCCGCTATTTCCGCGCCGGCTTACTTTCATCCACAAAGCCACCATCAGCCCGAACCTTTCCCCATTAAACCAAGGCTCCAAGTCTCGCCGGACTCGTACTGTATACTCGGTCAACAATAAGCCCAGGAGATATAAGCGCAAAATGGCGGACGTTAAGGATCCTCTTCTGCCCCAGGCGAAAGCCATTACTACCACTACCACTACCACTACTAAGAGTACTGCCATGCAGGATGCAAACATGGCAACACAATACGAGAAGATGGCGCGGCAATCACGACAGCACAAGTTCCAAATCGCGGCGTTTGTCTTTCTGCTCAGCTTGTTTTGGATGGCGCGGTCGTGGAATAGCGAGCATGAGCATCTGGAGGTGGATACAAAGGTCCCACTGGAAATCCACATCATGTCAAAGTGTCCGGATGCGCGGGACTGTATGCAGAAGCTAATTGTGCCGACCATGGAGGAAGTGGCGGATAAAGTAAACTTCACCATGAGCTTTATCGGAACGTAAGTTTTACCCTCGACTCTCTCTCTCTCTCTCTCTCTCTCTCTCTCTCTCTCCTCTACCCCACACCAAACTAACCACCCCCTTCCCCCAATCCAGCCCCTCCCCCACCGACGACGACGTCCAATGCCTCCACGGCCCCAGCGAATGCCTAGGAAACATCCTAATGCTCTGCGCCGCAACCACCTACCCCGACCCCAAACTCCACCTCGGCTTCTCCAACTGCCTACTCGCCGACTACGCCGAAATCCCCGCGCGCAGCCTGGCCGAAGACTGCGCGCTCGAACACGGCCTCGACTTTGACACGCTCAACGAGTGCATGAGCAGGGATAGCGGCGGCTACGGCATGGGCTTGCTCAGGGATAGCGTGCTGCGGAGTCAAGAGGTCAAGGCGCGGACGAGTTGTACCGTGCGCTTGGCGGGCAAGGTGAGGTGTGTGTTTGATGGGGGCGAGTGGAGGGATTGTGAGGGTGGGGAGAGGCCTGGGGATTTGATTGCGGATATCAAGAGGTTGTATGATGAGGCGAGGGGGTGGACGTATTGATGAGATGTTGTCAAGGGTGATGAGTAGTGGAGTATAGTAGGGAATGTGGTGGTCATGTTGCATGTTGCATTTCAAGCCCCTTCTCAGTGGTTTCCTATCAGGCGTACATGTGGGAGACTTTCTTTTTTTGCTTGGTCAAGGCATCATATGATATCGATGATACCCCCTCACCTTCTTTTGTCTGTCTTGTGGGCACACTGTGTATATATAGTTTGATACAGCATCAACAAGGAAATTCGTTATTCTTCATATCCAACATGATGGCCAAAATATCCACAGCAACGCCGCTTTCAATGCAGAGAAAACCCAGAACCCAATGCAAATACGAGTAGGTACTCCGTGCTAAACAACAACATCAACATCACCCAATGCCGTTTCCCCTCTCCCCTCTCTCCCACATCCCCCGCCTACTGAAACTCACCAAACTCGCCATCATCAAAGCCCAGATCCTCCGCCGTCTGCTTGGGCGGACTACTCTGCTCAAACATCTGCCTGCTCCTCCGCCGCTCCTCCTTGACGCTCTTCGCGCTCGGCGGAGGCGGCAAAAAGGCACCGCCCCCACTCCCAGGCGGCGGCTTTATACTAAACAGCGCATCCTGCTCGCTCTTGCCCTGCTCCTGCTCCGACTTTTCATGCGACCGCGAGCGCCGACCCTTGAGGCCGCCCAAGTTGATGGATATCGTCTCACCCTCCTTGAGACTGAAGTCGCGCTTGGGCTCCTCGACGGCCGCTTGTTTGGCTTTTGCGGCGGCGCGGGGCCCCGCGGTGGCGGCGGCGTGTGCTTCGAAGCCGAGGACGCGGCGGGCGTCTTGCAGAGCGATGCTGAAGTCGAAGGCTTCCGAGCGCTCTTCAAAACCCATGCCCAGCACTGCTTTGCGGCCCTCGCCGACGACGGTGATGGCGAAGAAGCGCGAGCTGTCGAGGGCTTGTTCGACGACGCGCTCGCTGGTATAGGGGGCGGCGGCGAAGAGATCGCCCGTCTTTGCGTCTTCGAGGAGGATGGTGGTGGTTACTTTTTCGTCGCCGTCTTCCGACTGCTCCGTCGTCGTCGTGGGCACAGAGGTCTCGACGATGCGTATCCGCGCGGTGAAGATTTGCAGCTTGTTGTCGTTTGCGGTCCAGGTGCTGGCCTGGTAGCCCTTGACTGAGGTTGCGGGTGGGATTTGGTAGACGTGGACTTTGGGCGCCAAGTAGAGAATGCGCTGGATCGCATTCGCAGGCAGCGGCTGGCCAGTAAGAGGATCAACGTTCATGTTGATTTGTTTAGACGGAAGAAAAGTTTCTTGTCCTTTTTTTTTTCTTTTTCCTCTTCTTCTTCTTCTCTCCTTCTAGTCTAATTTTTCCGCTGAAAAATTCTGTGGGGAGAGGCAAGAAGAGAAAAGGACAATTCTTCTTCTCACGTTCTCTCCCAAGTGGTTGCAACTATACCTCGTATAGGTAGGTAGGGCAGCAATGGGCGGCGGGGGTGGGGGTGGGGGAGAGGCAAGATTGCCGCAAACAAAGGGCAGAATCGCGTCGGTCCACACTAGCGGGGTCGATCGAAATACCAGTCAGCAAGCCAGCAAGCAAGCAAAGCAAGCAAAGCAAGCAAACCAGTGGGCGACGGGTGGGCGTTGGACGGTGGGCGGTGGGCGGAGTGAAAGGTGGGAAAATGAGGGGTACAGACAGTACCGACTATGCAGACCAGACTACCCGTTGTTGGTACTTAGCAGACAGAGAGAGAGAGAACGAGATAGGTAGAGAGAGAGAGACTCCAAGATTCGCACAGAGTTCGCGATGAAAAAAAAAAGGGCCGCAACTGTGTCCTGACTCTTCCTGGCCCCACGGCTTAGATCTGAAACGAAGAGCTCCAAAAACAGAGGTGGGCGGAGTCTGGAGGAGATTGGACTGGACGGCATTGCTGAGCGACTTTGTTTTGCTCTTGGTAGGTTAGGGGGGGGAGGGGGGGGACGGGGG